ATAATCAACTTTCGTGTCAATATCACGCAAGGCATAAAATAAGTTCCAAGGTAAATTACGCAGATCTTCCAAAAAAAAATTATGCTCGCCAACACTACATCTGATTAAGTTTCTCGGCTGGGTTTTCCATAAATATGCCCCTTCGGGCAGTTAAACGATTTTTGCAATTTATTCTTAATTCACCAGTTCTCGATGGGTTGTATCGCAATAATCTGGTAAAAATCATGGACATATTCGGTATTCCACCAGCTAGAAGATGGAAAACACAGGCACAGCATTCAGGTAGGATACAGACAAGACAAAGTGTTAATTTTAACCGTAACTTCAGACTTTTTATCGGAAAAAGTAGAAATGCATCAAATTTTAGAAAATGATCATGTTTCCTGCATCAGCAGCTATAATCCTAGATAGGTATATTTTTATTTTATGTTTCCACCTTTTGCTATTGCCAAAACTTTGAATTGAGGATAAAACACTCTGTCAATTATTAGAACTGTCTTGTAGATAGAATATACAAGACATTAGCCGTACGGTCCGGTCCGGTCCGGCTTCGGAGTCGCACGCCTCCCATTATTGTCAGTTCTAGCCAGCGTTCCACAGATGATCACTGATCAGCTGATTATTTGTTTATTGTTTGTTTAGTTTTAAGCCCCAAATTATGTTATCGTAATCTGAAAATATGTACTTTCTGCCCTGCCCTTCCAGAAAAATTGACAATTTTTGGAAAAATAAAATTCAGGGTTTATGCTCATTTTTTGAAAACCTAAATTTAGGATTTTTTAAATTTTAATGTTTTTGATGCAAATTTTTTTAGCACGAATAGCTTCTTTCTTTTCGACAGAAAATGCAGATTTACCCAAACTAACCTCTCCATCTAGTGGGATCTAGTCCTCATAAGTTACTATTTTATTTTAAAAAAAACAAGGTAATTTAGTTTAGAGCATAGAGTCCCTTGAGCGCGCTTTGTTTTCTAAATAAAATGCTAATTTTCAAAGACATAGATAGCACTAGACTAGACGGTCGGTTATTTTGGTCTTGTCTGCCTTATTGGGTCTGCCACTTGCGGATTTATATAAAATCTGTAGGTAGTTTCACTACTCGCGGATTTTGTTTTGTTTGTTGTTTGTAAAATTTAAAATTAGATCCCGTTCCTGTTTCCTTTAATTTTCATAGATGAGAAAATCTCCTAGTGAAAAGGAAGATATAGATGAGTTACAATTTATGAAGAAAACACCAATATCATAACTACATTGAGAAAATTTTTTCATTGTCATAGCTAATTTTTCTGCTGCCGTAGCCAAAAATTTTGGCTACATAGGGGACAGCCAAGATCTTTACTACCGCCGAAAAGATAACTTTACTGGCACCGTTTATTTGCGGTAGCAAAGTGACTTTATAAAGAATTTACTCACAGTTTCTACAAGGTCACTTTGCTGGCATAGAAAAGCTACTTTGCTGTCGTAGGAAAGTAACTATGCTGTCCTAGAAAAGAGGTTATATACCCTCAAAAACATCCTTTTTTGCTATTGAAAAGTAGATTGCTAAGACAGAAAAGATATTTGTTGTTGTTATTAGAAATGCTTCCTGAAATAGGAAAGCGTTTGTCTCAGAACAAAAAATTTCTTGCCAGAATCAGCCAAGTGTTTTATTAGCCATGGGAAGTTATTTGTCTCACCAATAGCAAAAATATTTTGCTGGAAATCTTTGGAAACATGTAGTAGCGCGTTCATCATAACAAAAACAGGAGATAAACAAACTCTATTTAAACCCCTAAACTTTCATTACCTGATCTGAAATAATGTCAATTAATGAAAAGTTTGGCGCTAGAGTTGTTTCTGCTAGTTTTGATGGATGCGCTGGCACCATTTCCAAAAAGATTCCCAGCGACCGACACTCGACTTGACTCGACAGCATCCACGATCCACACCGTACGGCGTTAGCTACTAAACTAAAATGGAAGAAAATGAACACGAAACATATTTTATCGGTTATTTTTGGACCCGAAGAAATCACGGAAATGTCCGAACGGTATTTTTAGTTAAGTTATTTGGCTAGGGTAGCAAAAAACATTACTGTAACAATAACAAAAATTACAGGATTTTTTTTTTTGCTGCGACAGTAAAGTATCTATCTTTTCTTTCTTTTCATCTTAGAAAAGTTCTATTTCGGAGAAGCAGAAATATTTTCATAAAATTTTAATTTTGCTATAACAGCAAAGTTTGGTTTTGGAATAAGAAATATCTTTGCAGTTTCAATAAAGTAGTTTCAGCAAAGTGGTCTTTTCTGTAGAAGCAAAATAACATTGCTACCTCTAAAGCATTTTCAACTGTAACAGCTAAAAAAAAAACAGCAAAGAATTTTCTCCTGGGACTTTTCTTAGTGTAGCATAACAATACAAGCAAAGAAGTTAATGGTTATATATTTAGACTGCCAACGTGCCAACACCTCTCAACTTTTGTATAATTATTTTTAAAGCTCAACATAAAGATTACGATATCAGGCAATTAACAAATAATCAGCTGCTGGAACTGACAAACAAAGAAAACACAGCGGATGCGCGCGACTCGGAAGCTCTGTGACCGGGGTACGGCTGCACTACACTTTCACTTTTATGAGGCTGTTTTATATTCTCCTAAGTTGAACTTTTTTATGATTTTCTGTATCAATGTTTTCTGTCTATCAATTTCTCAATGATCTGTATGCCCAAAAAGTTCTTGAAGGGGGTGTAAACCAAAAATAGATACGTTTTTGGTTTATGTAAAAAAAAATCCAAGAACAACATCGAAAACCTCGCCTCTATGCCGGATTTCTATCAAAAGATATCAGTCTTCAGATTTTGCAACAAAACGTAGAAGTGACGTCACAACCGAGTGGAGCCCAACATATTTAGCTTTTATGTACTTTGGTTCAAAACCAAAAGCTACACTTATTTGAGTCAACCCGTATTCAAGTGAGAGTCGTAGCGTACTTTATTAGAGTCTGAGTTTATTGCCGGTTTTCCACCAAACGGACAAAACAAAAACAAAACCCAAACTCGTGTCGAATAAAACAAAACTCAAACTTTTCCCAAACATTTTGAAGTCTGGTTTTTTATTCTCGACTTGATTTCAGTTTTATAGTCTGTATACGAATTTTTTACCAAAAAAAAAGCATAACGTAGTCCGCTTGATGGAAACGAGAGTTTTTGGTTTGTTTCAGTTTTGTTTTTGTTTTAAAACATAGGCAAAACACAAACTCAACAGTCCGTTCAGTGGAAAACCGGCATATGGTATCCAAGCGGTTGTGACGTCACGCTGCCACATTTGTTTTGCGAATATCTCGAAGCCGTTGGGCATAAAAAGGTGCAGCTTGGAATATTGTTCTTATATAGAATTTGTTATAGGTACAGGAATTTTCATCTGTGGCTCACACCTCCTTTAAGTTTCCCGAAATGTCACGTTCGGGACAATCGTAGCCACTTAAATTGTGGAAGTCATTTGGTAACAAAAAAATACTTTTTTTAACATTATCGAGTCATATTTTTTACTGTCCTTGTCCTTGACATCCTCAGGTATTTTAATATGGACGTCTATATTTAGATTCTCATTGAGCAAAAGCAGTTGGGATATCCAGGCGAAATATATCCCTCGGGCCATAGGCCCTCGAGCTAGTTTCGCCTTCGGGCATTATAATCTACATAATCCCCTTGGTACATAAATAGCTATTATTAAGACACTGCACCATTTCTTGAGCGGTTTATGCATAAGAATGCATTATGCCAAGAGGCATAATATTTATGTGCCATACACTCTACTATCAAACATTTAGCTTCCGTTTCTTTTCCATAATTTTTTTTTCCAGGATTTGTCCTATGTCTCCATAACTCCTGCTGTTTCCAATAAAATTTCCAGTTGGAGTACCTAATTTGGTACTATACTAAGTTGAGAAAGTGGCAAAATCGACGACATTTCAATATACATATATACAATAAAGTTTTTTTTCTACTACCGTGCGTAAAGTACTCACTTTACGCACTACTCAGATGTAAAATTACACTTCACGCACTAGTGCGTGAAGTAACTCACTTCACACACTAGTGCGTAAAGTAATGTCAATGACAGATGTTGACAACTGTCAATTTAGTATTTTTCTGGTAAATTACTTCACACACTAGTGCGTAAAGTGAAAATACTTCACGCACTAGTGCGTAAAGTATTCGTCTTAATCATCGAGGTCTAAATCTATTTTTTGAACATATTTTATTGGCGATTGGTAGTAGAAAAAATTTTGTATGCAATACGTGCGTAAAGCTCCTTTTTTCACTCATGTGATTGTCGCACTCGCCTTCGGCTCGTGCGTCAACATTCACATTCGTGAAAAAAGGTTCACTTTACACACGAGTTTACACACTTGTTGCATAAATAACTATTTTCTCACATTCAAAAAATATAAAGGTTTGTCTTATTTTCTTTTACACCTAACTGGAAAATCTAATTTCTTCTGTTTTCATCTATACTATTCGAACTATAATAATCCTATTACTTGTTCACATTCAACTATAATAATTCACAGTTTCAGCAATAATCTATGGGCCCATAACCTCTCAGATTTATTGTGAGACTTCTTTGTAAATTGCTGGATGAAATTGATGAAAAATAAAAACGTCTTATTTTATTCCTTCCAGCGCACAGAATAATCATTTTCCTAGATAACAATTGCGGAAAACATCATTTTTCCGCGAGTGGTAGAAACAAAATTTTTCCTACGAGTGTGCGATAAAGCCTTTTTCCGTGCGGACAAAAATGTTTTCGTACTAGTCCGGAAAAATTACTCTTTCCTCACGCTCGTAGGAACAAAAAGCTGCATGCACATTTGTGCATTGTCAACCAAAATATGTCTATGTCATTACAAATGCATTGGCAACTAACGAAAACTAAAATGTAGGTATTAGATACATATATCTATTAAGTAGGTATAACAATATTGAACAAAAAAAGCTTTAAGTAAGTGCTAAATCTTACCTTTTATAGCCAAACGTGCCTCATTAATAATCTCAGCGCTAGTTTTCCTGGAATTTTCCTGGTAAGGCGTAGTAAAACTGTTAACGTCTTTCTTTAAAAGTGAACCTTTGCTATTAAACTCCATGATTATTGCACTTATCTATCATTTTATTTACACTCTTGAGTAGGTAAGTATTTCAAAAGTTCAGCGCACAAACCTTAAATTTTTCCACCGCAAATTACGTCGTTTAAACTAACAAGAGCCTCGTTTCGTACTAATTTCAAGCAGATTTTCCACTAACTTTATACCGCTTACAGTAGGTATTGATTATTTTGGGAAAATTTTATTGGGCCAGCATGACATGCAAACGGACAGCCGATCGATTTTTCACATTGAGGCTCCCCTGAATATTAAAATAGAGTAGAACAAATAATCTAGATTAATGTCATCGACATTGTCAATATTTTTTTTGAGATTTCCCTCATGTCATGACATACTTTTGAGGATTTTGGGTCAAAAGGTAATAAGACTGGTCAGGAATTAATGGGTGATAAATATGTATAACAATAATTGATGCCAAATTTTTTATTGGTCATTCATGCTGTATTTATTATAGTTGGTGTATTTTATTTTTAAGATGAAACTTTCATAAATTAAACGCCATAGTAAGTTCCTAGGTACCTAATAGGTATGAAAAGTTAAGATCTGTCCAAAGATATTTGAAAACATAATTTACTCTTAAAAAAAAAGTGCACAATAGGTTAGCTAATCCGCTGTACTAAAACTGAAATTAGACTATTACTTGAGCCCTTCCTGGTTTAAGGAGTTTTCCATCTGATTTTCATTTGAAACATTCCCCTTCTCCTAACTGTGTTCAGCGAGGAAGATGGCAATAGTTACATTTGAAGTTTTGCTTTAAGCTCTTCTTTTGAATCTGACATCCATTTAAACCACACCATACTTCAATTTATACATGTCCAATTCCACAAAAACAGGTCATTGGATAAAATAAAACTCACATCATAATAATACACAAACATATTTATTAGATAGAAATAAAAATAACATGCAGTACAACAAGAATTACCTGAAAACATGGAAAATTTAGTCACTTAAAAAATATTGAACCTAATCCTACTGCTGTGAAGTAACCATCTCAAACCACTGCATAAGAGCATCGCTCAAAACTCCAGGCAGCGAATTGATGTCTCTCAATATTAAATAGAACGAAAACGGAAACTCGTCCATATAGTTGGATATATTCAATTTGCCATCTTTATCAAACATGGTTGATCTTATATCTAAAATGGAATCCCTATTGTTGGGATTATCAACTATTATAAAAACAATAAAAATATTCTCCAATTTTGCCCTTCGTATAGCTTGAGTTACGTAAGATTTGCCTTCAGAAAACACTCCCTGGCCATCACTGACTATCAATAATAATTTGGCGTTTGGTAATGATGTGTGAATGTTACTTTGATTGAACATCTCCGTAACAAATTCCACCAACTTGCCTATGTGAGTTTTTTGTTGGTCAAACTGGAAGTTTTGCAAGAGTTGCACCCCGCTTCTGTCATTGAAAGGCTCTGAAAGTTTATGATGGAGTTTTGTAGTTTCTCCAAAGCTCACCACAGCTAATTGGCCACTTTCAAGCAAAGACAAGGCCTTAGACATCAAGGCTACACTTTCGAAAGCTAATTCCTTAGACTGATTATCGGCCATACTTGACGAGTCATCAATAGCCAATACAATTTGATATTCTCTTTTAGATGGTTTAGTTCTTCTAAGCCAGATTTTGTCTTTTCTAAATTGTGAAGCAATATATGGGATTACTTTTCTCATGTTGATTCTTCTTCCAGTTCTGAAATCTCCTTTCAAATGGCTCGCTTGTGTAGGCTCTAAAACCAATCGTAACTGCTCAGATAAATCTTGAGCCAAGCTGGCCGTTACCGAAGAGATTTTTTGCCAAGTTTGTTCCGCTTCGATGGAATTTGGGGTAGATTTCCATGTGGAAAGTTCTTGAGTGACTTCTTGCCGAAGTTGATTGATTTCTTCTTGATCTAATTTTTCTGGATTGGTTTCTTGAAGAAGATGGTACTGGGTGTGATGGAATGATTCTCCTCCACGTGGTACTGTTGTGGTTGTTACTATGTCACCTTCAATTTCTACGTCTTGGGTTCCCTCAATGCCGTCATCTGAATCAAATAAGAATTATTATTTCAATTGTAAGGGTGAGGTTGCAAAGTAAAGAGAAAAGTTGTGAAAGAAAATATAGCAAAATAGTTCAGTTATTGTCAACTTTACAACAGAAAAACTGTAATGCTGTTTGGTGTTATAAGGTTGCATTAAAAGAATATCAACATCACCATTTTTACCTTTAGAATGTTTCTTATTTTTCGGTTTCTCTCCATCATGATCAGTTTTTCGGGGTTTCTCAGTTTGAGTATCCGACACATCAACATCCATTTCCTCTTCCTCTTTTTCTTCAGGAAGATCTTTGGCACTTTCCGCTTCTTCATTTTGATCTTCTTCGTCTTCCTTATGAGTCGCTTCTTTACTTTGTTCTTCAGCTTGTTCTTTCGTTGCCGCATCGAAAACCTTATTTGAAAAAAAAAAAAATAACGTTCCATCCGAATAATCCTTTGAAAAAAAATTACTACCTGCATATGTTTACGCTCTTCTGCTTCTTGAATATGCTGATACATATCCGATTTTTCCTCCTCTTCTTCGCCATCTTTTTCAGGCTGATTATCCTTGGCATCTACAGTCTTCAATTTTTTCTCTACTGACTGATTAACATCACCAGCGCTACGCTTCAAATTGGACTCTCCAAGTTTCTCTTTTTTCCTTTCTTCTTTTTCTTGTTCCGATTTTGAACTTCTGGCCTCTTGAGGCGCTGCGCTTTGCACTGAATGACCAGATTCGCTTTCTTCCATTTGCGATTGTCCCATACCTTCCTTATCTGGTTTGTCTTCTTGGAGGATATCGTCCATTGGCTGATCGGATTTTAGGTTGTCTGACTGGGTAGCCTGAGTCTAAAATAAATTACATTACATATATTTTTATATTTGGGGTAATTGATAGTTATTTACGTTATCAGTGGCTTCAGCTTCATCCACTTCCATAGCTTCAATATTATCTTGACCTGAAGGGTTTTGGTCCAAAGCATTTTCTTCATTATCAACTAGTTCCTCATTTTCCTCTTCACCTTCTTGGGATTTTTTAGGTTCCTCAACCTTTTCTTGTTCGGATTTTTCTTTGTCTTCTTCAGGTTCAGCTTCATTATCTTCAACTTTATCATTTTCATCAGTTTTGGTGGCATCTTCTTCATCACTGCTGAACTCTTTTTCTTCGTCATGCTGTTCGTTTTGGTTTTCAGCGGGCTCTGGTTTATCATCAGGAATTTGTTGGTCTTTCATTTCGTCAATGTCAAATGGATTTTCTTCAGGTTGTTCATCGTCATTAGCTTCACCTTCATCGAGCTGAAGATCATCGGGTAAATCCATCGGGTCAGGTTCGGGTAATTCCGGTTGATTTCCATGATACGGATCGACTTGATCTTCGTCATACTCTGGTTCTTTCATGTCGTTTATTTCTTTTTTGTTTTTCTCCGAATCTTCATCGGCTTCAGGATTTTGCGATTCATCTTGATTTTTATTTTTTTGTTTGGAGTCGTTTTCGTCTCTGGCTTCTAGTTGTTCTTCACCATCTTTTTCGCCACCTTTACCGTCTTCTTCTTTTTGTTCAGCATCTATTAGCATTTATAATATGACTTACTCGAAAAAAAATCTTCAGTGTTGTCAAGGAAGGAACACAAACATAATAAAAGTCTTTCCTATTTTCTTTTGACAATTTTGAAAGCAAATCAAACTTTGATTTATTTTGAATATTCCATTAAAACCTTACCTTGATTCTCGTCATTTTCTTCATCCTTATCATCTCCCCATAATTCCTGATCCAACTGATCTGCCCCTTTGTCAGTTTCACCCATTTGTTCTTCGGCATCAGAATTATCACTTTGTTGATCTTCCTCATCATCCCCACTAGGTTTTTTATCCTAAAACCATCAAAATATCCCACCTAATTCTATTTAACATAATAATAACACTCACCTGCAATTTAGAATCAAAATCTTCACTCATCTCGATACCTTTATCCTCCTCATTACAGTCGGGATCTTCTTTGTCGTCTTTTTCTTGGCCGGCAGGTTGTGCATCGTCTAGTTGATCTTCAGATTCGATCTTGTCGGACGCGTCACGTTCTCCTTGTCCTTCTCCCAAGCCCATACCGTCTGTGGGTTTGTGCAGACCTTCTTTTTCTATTTCGTCGGATAGTTCAGGTGGAATACAGAAACCCTAACGAATTAAAATTTTAAAACCTAATAAAATTGATTTTCAGACACAGTTCTTACCTTTGTTGCCAGATCTATGAAGATATTCAATAATATCGAAGTCAGCTTACAGGTTGTACGGTAAGCAGCCACTTGCTGAGTAATGAAATACTGTGACAATTGCAAAACTTGATCAAACAATGGTAAACATTTTGACAAACTAGTTTTCATGTCTTCTGAAACGTAATTGGATTCACCCATCACAAATTTCACAACTTTTTCAACTGTAACCAAAACTTTGTCCAAATCCAACATATTGAAATCTGATGATAGGCTTTTGGTTATCAATGTTTTCAAATGATTATCTTTTAGAGCTACTTCGTCTTGTGTTTCATGGTCTTCTTTAAGCAAATAATCTTCTTCGTTTTTTTTGTATAGATTTTGGAAAATTATGAGCAAAGACTTTGTGAATGAGTCGATAAGTGACTGAAATTCCTTGGAAGAATCATCTTGAGCAACACTATCATGAGTTTCTTGTAAAATACTTCTGATGTTATCTGAAACCCAATCTAAAGTTTCTGTAATTGGTATCGGTTCAAATATTTCTTTCAAACCATCCAAGTTCTGTAGAATATTTTGTAGCTCCACAGTCAGTTGGTCTTTCTGAGCAAAAGGTACAAAATTTACATCAACCCTGGGTCTCTCAGAAAACAAATTTGTTGGCTCAAATTTCTGAATGGTGTTTAGGGTTTTAGTAATGCATGTATTTATGTTGCTTATAGATTCTTGACCTCTTTTCCAGTTTTCATCATTTTTACTATTGAATTTCCCGAAATTAGGATCAAGCAAAGGAATTTCAAATAGTTGTTCATCAAATGAAGTTTCTTCATCCGGACACGAGTTTAAAATTAACTGTACTTGACTAATAACAATTGTCAATGAATTTAGTACATTTTTGATGTTTGTTAGAGTTTTGGAATGGATAAAATCTGAATGCTCATAAGATTCTCGTATTTGTTTTGCGTAACTTCTTAAAGTGTGGTAGGATCTTGTCACAGTTATTAGAGTCTTTTTTTGGTTTTGACAGAAAGTCTAGAAAATTAAAATTATAAATTTGGTGTCATTACAAAAAATATTCTTACCAATAAGTGTGCAGCAAATCCTCTACATCTATCAATATTTTGCACGCCCAAGTCGTGAGCTGGTGTAACAAGAGCACTTTCCAAAACATCGTATCTTCTCAAACATCTATAATAATACAATTCGCACGAGTCCCAAATAGTAAGCATTTTTCCGTCCATTCTATTGAACCCGAGATACGAAAAACTAGCAGATAAGTCTAGTGGTTTTATAGTGTACTCTTCCGTGGGTTTTTTAATTTTTGAATCTATGATTCCTGTTTTGTAGGAAACTCCAATTTTTGATAGGGTTTGGAACAGGTCGGCTAGGGCTCTGTGTTTTTGGTGGAGTATGTTTTTCGCTTGGGATTTTTGTTTTTCTTTCGGAAGTGTTGTGTCAACCTAAAAGGAATAATATCTGTTAGTTCATTCAGATAGAAGACTTTGGAGGTGGTTGTGAAGATCTGACACATATAATTTTGTATTCAGACTTCAGACAAATGATAATTCTTCTTGGATTTTCTTTCCTAATAATAAAAACATAGGCACTGTGAAAACCATTACCTCCAATTTCCTCAAATGCTCACTGGTCTCAATAACATCCGTAACAAACGTATCCAAAGATTTAACCAAATCAGGATACTCGGTACCCGAAATTGTCTCTTTACATATCTTACGAGCCTTGGATAAATATGAGGAATCCTTGACAGACGCCTTCACTAAGTAGGAATCGGCATCCAGTGTATAATGATAAGCCTTAGGATTTTGTCTTTGTGGCCGATCCCAAATGCCAACACTTTCCATTGCTGTGTCTGAAACGGGGTTGGTCAGGAATGGTGCAACTGGTTGAAGAAGAACATCCTAAAAAAAAAGAAAACATTATATTTTTAGCTCCTCATTTGTCACACTTCTTTATGTGAGCCCGGAAAATATTGAAAAGTCAGGAGATAATAGATTATCTTCTCATCTCACAAATCTCACCTTATATTCTCTAACAAACTTATGCAAAGCCTTATAAGATTTGTCCACTGTATCCTTAACAGACCAATAGTTAACGTCCTTCCACTTGACAATTTTAACATAATCTTTAAGTTTTTTCTCTATTGGTGCTCGCAAATCTCTGAGTTTGTTGCTTATAATGACTGAAAATTGGTTGAAATAATTGTAAATATTCCATAAAATATTAACGAAAGCCTCCGATCGATGGGTTTTAGGTTGCGTTATGGCATAACAATGAAATTCTAGTACAATATCTAAACGTCCATGGAATTCCACCAAGTTGGATTTGGTTATTAGTTTTTGGAGTGTGTCGACTAATTCCGATTCTGTTATTTGTGTGTCTTTTAAGTATTGGTTGGAGAGATTGTACATATACATCCACCATTTTGATAATGGCTTGGTCATTCTATAAAAGAAAACAATAATAATAATATTCTTATACTTATTGATTAATTCTTACTCGTTAAAAGTACTATTAAGTAAATCCTTCCATCTGCCAAGTTCCAATTTCCTCCAAGTGATAATTTGAGCAATAACTTCCGGTGTGTCGTTTAGCAAACTTACACCACTGTGAGCTACTTGTTCCCATTCGTGACATTTGGCCAGTAAAATGTCGAATCCAGTTAGGTATCTGGCTATAGGGCTTTTGATGTCGAATGTAAAAATTCTGTCGATTACTGTTATAATCTAAAATGGATTTTTGTTACTATCAAATTGCAAAAAAAAACACAATAGTACTTACTGTGTTTAATGTAGGTTGGTCGGGCCATTCTAAAAGGAGTTCGTTCACTTTAAGTTTTAGTTTGTCTAAAACGTGGTAGCAGGTTTTTACTTCGTCTACGTCCGAGTCCTTATAGAAATCTTTGTTGGCTATTTTCAATGGGGAATCGTGACCTAAAAAAATATATTTTCGTTGTTATAATTATGTTTTTTAAATTAGCATTTCTTATTTTTGTTTTGGGAAATACTTATTCTACAATTAGAAGAAAAAAAAACAATAATAAAAAATAGAGAACTTCCAGTAAAACCTTAGGTATCAATGCACGAGATCTACCAAAAGGGTACCTATTAATGTTTTCAACGGCCTCCACAACAAAATATACAGTCGACAATACGGTGGCACCCTTCCCAAATAAGCGTCTGATATGTACAAGAAATCTGGAGTTAGCACTCACTATGAATGAAATAAATGATACCTGTGCTTTTCTCTTACTACGAAAACAGCATACTTACCTATTTTCTCAGATATTATGAAGCATTTTTGGTCATAGGTTATTGAATACCATATCATAATTCCCTCCCCCATCAGTATTATTGTTATTTACAATCAAATAGCCATATTGTCCGTCGTTTTTTATCTGACACTGAGCGAGCAGGTGAAGCTTAGGTATAGCAAAAACAGGTGTGTTTGGAATATTTCAGTTTGATGGTAATAGGACTATGACCATTGGAAATTCCGAGTTGAAATTGTGCTTGATCACAATAGAGTTAAAACTTGTATGGAATAGCCATAAATCAAAATTCGCAAGACGAAGTGAAGCTAGACAAGAAATGTATTACAGTTCGTTGCTAATTCGCACTTGGACTACTTAGATCAAAGATAAACCAACATCTCGTGATGTGATTGGCACTTGAGAAAGTGTTTCAACGGAAGAGCATCGCAATAGCCAGCTCTTATCTGAGAAAAAGATTTGTTAACTATGAGGTTAGAAAAAAGCGGAACACTTGAAAACCATTTCATAAAATTTGAGCAAACTGTAAGGGAGTTGAAGTCCGTAGGAGCAACACTAGAAGAAACCTAAATTGTTTGCCATTTGCTGTTATTGTTACCCTCCAGTTATGTCAGTTATGATAATATTATTACTGCCCTAGAAGCTTTCGAACAAGATAAATTAACGTTAGTATTTGTCAAGGCAAACTTTTAGATCAAGAGATGAAGAAGAAGTCTAAATAATCTGAATAGAGAAGATTTATCTCGCGTAGCAGCATTTAGTGGGTTTTGGGTTCAATAACATCAATAAAAAGTGGAATATCAAGCATGAGAAGAAATTTATTAACCAAAATAACCCACTAGTGTGTGTTCTTGAAATTCCCTTCCAAAATAACAGAATCAAGTTTGTTGTCGACTCAGGAGCAACAGATCGCATGATAAATCAAGAATTTCGGATTCCTGTTACTAAGAACAATGCTAACATGCTAGGTTAGGGCACATAGGAAACAAAAATTTTGAAAATCTTGCTAAAAACAGTATGGTAAAGAATCTAAATGTAAATATTGAAACCAGGCAAAACAAAATTTGTGCAATTTGTACACAATCAAAAATTACTCGTTTATCATTTGAAAAACCATCAGGAAAAGTAACGAAAAGACCCCTGGAAATTATCCATAGTGATATATGTGGGCCAATAACTTCTAGTAAGCCTGATAACAAAAATTATTTCGTTACCTTTCTTGACGATTTTACACATTTCACTTTCACTTATTTTATAACAAATTAAAGTGACACATTTAACTGGATACAGGATTGGGTCAATCCAGTGTGATAATGGGAGTGAGTATTGCTCCAATGATTTTACTATGTTTTTCCAAAGCCAGAGGTATAAGATTATGTCATTCTGTACCTTATAACCCTGAGATGAATGGCTCTGTCGAACTTTAAAATAGGACAATATTAGAAAAAGGTAGAGCTTTATTGCTAAATTCAAGATTACCAAAAAATATGTGAGGAGAATCAGTATTTGTGCTGTTTATCTTGAACCGATCTCCTACAGCTTCTTTGAAAAATGTCACTCCTGCTGAGTTGATTTATAAATTGAAACCTGATTTAAAAAACTTGCAAATTTCAGTGGCGGTTCGCCCATATGGGCAAGGTGGGCACCGCCACTCTGGAGAAAAAATAAAAAATATTTTCAATACAACTTTTGGAAAGGCCGTGACCTTGAAAATCTCAAAAAAAATTACGCCTACGGCTGTTTTTAATTTTTGTCGTCCACCCTTACTTAGACACCACGAGCCGCCACTGGCAAATTTTTGACAGCTTAGCATATTGTCATGTTCCAAAAGAAAAGTAGTCAAAATTTGATTCAAAAAGGAAACATTAATATTATGGTAGGATACCGGATACCCAAATAATGGTTATCGATTTTGGGATATTGTTAAACAAAAGGTGTATGTTGTTCGAAATGTAATGTTTGAGTTTGATGAGTATAAAGAACATGAGCAATCTAGAACTGATTCTTCAACTTCCAACTTATAAAGCTTTTAATATTTTATGATGTAGAATAAAGAATTAACGGTCAAAAACACAACATCTCATTTCATTCTTGAATATATACTATTAAACATATAATAACAATATAGACGGTTCAACAAATCAAGAAGACCATGCAAATTTTGATTTATTGACTGTGCAAACATTTATAAGGGAAGTTAATTTCTGAACGCATCTACCTGTTCCAATCTTTTTTTGCCCTCTAAAGACACTATATGCAGACACTGGGAGGCTTCAAAAAGCAGGTTTGTCCAAAGCCAAGTTCTCCATTTAGTCGCTTAATCCTTAATCCGTTTCAATTTTGCAACGAAACTTTTCCACATAGTCAGACTCACAAACTAAAAACATATTGGCATTTCGTATAGGTCTTATTTGGTTGTTTGGACTGCTGTGTTGGTGAGTCAAATTAAGGAATAACGCAATTTTCGGCGAAAATAGTTATTTTTGAATTAACGCTTTACTTTAGAAGTAACGCTTTATTTAAAAGTAGCGCTTTATTTCAAACTAACGCGTTGAGGTAACGGGTTACTTTCAAATAACGAGTTACTTTCAAGTAACGAACTACCTACTTCTAAAGTAAAGAAGTTACTTTCAAAGTAAAGTAGTTACAGTAACGTGTTACTTTCCAATAAGTAACGAAAATAAAATTATCATTATTCGAAAGTAACTGTAAGTTTTAAGTAACGAGTTATTTTTAAGCAAAAGTAGCTGTAAAGTAACGCGTTACTTTTTTCAAGTAACGATCCCAGCTCTGTTTGAGGGTGATCTAAATGAAAACATGTTAGGAACGTTAGGAGCTAATAATAATGAAATAGAGCAAGGAAATAATAATATTCTTGAAAATAATGAGTTTGATGAGTCAAATACGGAAAGTCCGGTTAGGAAAAGTAATAGAGTAAAGAAAATACCTTCTTATTATAATGATTATGTCATGGAAGGTGATTTGGAAGACATGGCTGCATCTAGTTTTGTAGATAGAGTTCCAGAAAGTTTAGAACAGGCTAAAGAACCTGCAGAATATAAATTTTGGAAAAATGCTATAGATGAAGAAATTAGAGCTTTGATAAAAAATAAGACTTGGTCTCACGTTGAAAAACCGGAAAATGTTAGGCCTAAATAAGTCTAATGATAGGGGTGAACCATTAAAATATTAGGCTAGGCTAGTAGCCAAGGGACTTATGCGAAAGGGATTCTACTTTCACGAAACCTTATATGAATTTGTGCGGAAGGAAAATTTCATAAGGTCAAATAACGATCCCTGTTTACACGTAAAACATATTGAAAATAATAGAATATGCATGTTGCTCTATGTTGGCGACATTTTGCTATCTAGCAGTGACTATTTTGAGATAAATGGAATCAAAATTAAACTGAAATTAAGATTTGAAATACAAGATTTAGGTAAATTAAATACATTTTTAGGTATCGACGTAACACGTGGAAACAATTTCGTTTATCTTAGTAAAAAACAATATATCTTAAACTTGAATGTTTTACCATGGGTAATGCGGTCAGCACTTCCTTGAATGCAGATTATCTAAAAACGGACACTACATCTCGAACTGAGGGATTTGAAAACAAACCTGTTAGGGAACTCGTGGGGTACTCAATGTACCTAATGCTGAAAACACGGCCGGATTTAGGCATTTCGGTAAATTTGTGCAGTAGGTTTCAAAGTAATAACCAAATGAACAGTCACAAGTCAACTCAAAAACAAAGTACGGTTGCGACCTCTTCCACAGATGCAGAATATGTCTCTCTTGCAAAGGCTACTAAAGAAGGTATTTGGTTGTCAAATATTCTTTCTGATTTTGGTTTTGAGAAAACTAGTTTTGTCATATTTAAAGACATAACCATTCCTGTATCAATCAAGTTAACGAGAGGGTTCGATCACAGAAAATTAAAGTATATTGATGTGAAATACAATTGTATTAAAGATTTGGTCCACAGTGGTACTGTAGTTGTAGAGTACAAGCCAAAGCAACAAATCGCAGACATTTTAACTAAAAATTTAACTAGTGATTTGTTTGCTAAACTCAAAATAGGATTATAGTAGATGTATTTTAAACTGCTATGTAAAAGTAACGCTCTTTCAGAATTAATTTTGTTATAGAATAAATATCTTTTGATTGAGAAGGGATGTTAGATTCACAATCAAATATAGCCATCAATGTGTAATGTTAATTTATTACTCAAGTGTTGTAAATTTCACGAGTTTCACGAAATGAATTAAAACGTTGTTCAATCGTAATCAGGTGGAATCGTGTTTTTCTATTACATTCACAATTCACATACTTATATTTGGTGCTTCAAAGATTTCATCAGTTATCATGATGGTCTGCTCACAGCTTCTAATGGGATTGCAAACCAATTTCAGCTATTCTATTTCGTACACCTCGTTGTTTATATTGGTGAATTAAAATTCTTTCTTTTTTGGAGATAACCCAATAACACACCACTTCAACGATGACAAAGTCTCCAGGGGTGAAACTCTGTAACGGATAGAGATCGATATCCCTATCGCTATGGCACTTGCTATCTTTTTCTCTCTTTTCGAAATCAGTAGAGAGGGGACGTCAGAAGAGATAGAGAAAATATCTCTATTCGTTACGGAGTTCCAGCA